AAAAGTTGTTAGATATCAACATTTGCTTTCACTTCTCTTGCATTCATCCGAATAAACAAGTTTTTTTGCCAGAAATAATAGTCTCGACGGTTATTCCGCACTCAATCCTGTCTCAGCTTGCGCCCTATTTAATTCGAAAAGATTAAATGGGAAGGAATTTTTGACTCTTTCTTTATAACGTCTGAGTAGCCCGAGAAAGAAGCTGCGGATGATAAGATGTTATCACTCTCTTCTTGTCTATGAAACTTGTTTTCCAGGGTCTCCTCTTCGCTCTCATACTCGTTTGAGTATCATCTTCTTGTCGAGTCTATTAGACTTGGAGATTATCCAAGTTCCGAATCCCACACAGACAAGACAGCACAGACCTGCTAGATAGATAGATCTTGTTCTTCGTTTTCTTGGGCAGGTTTTATTGAGAGAAAACGACGGAATAAAAAAGAAAATTCGGGAGAAAGAGAGGCAGGAAAGTCGTATTTTGTCATGTATCTGGAGGTGTACGATGCTCTGTTCTTTCTCATTTTCTTTTGTGGTAATTCCTAAATTACGACACTCTTAGAAAAAAGCTGGTATTAAGTCATTACTGATATGGCTCTACTGGTAATAAAGGGCATTACCGTTTAGTAATGCTGTGGTAATGACAAATTTACCACTCAGAAACAAACTACTACCAATCAGGTATAAAGTTATTACCAGTGCGGAGTATGTAAGTATGTAACTCTACCAGTTTTTTTACAGTGTATTGTCGCCAATATCCATGTTATTATGCGGCAAATGTCTCCGCTGATTAGAATAAACCGTCGCAAACGGAAGTAGCTTCAGACGTACTTCACCCCAAACGGTCCCACCACAACTCGGGAACACTTAATTTCACTCTATTTCACCTATAGATTAATTTTTTGTAAAAATCTCATTTTGCCCCGACCACACCCCCTGGCGACGAGGGGGTGTGGAACAACTCGGGAACACTTAATTTCACTCTATTTCATCTATAGATTAATTTTTTATAAAAATCTCATTTTGCCCCAACCACACCCCTGGCGCCTAGAGGGTGTGGCACAACTCCGGAACACATAATTTTACTCTATTTCACCTATAGATTAAATTGCACTAAAAATCTCATTTTGCCCCAACCACACCCGCTGGCGCCGAAGGGGTGCGGCAAAATCGGGGAAGCACTTAATTTCACTTAATTTCACTTAATTTCATTTAATTTCACTCAATTTCACCTAATTTTACCCATAGATTAAATTGCACTAAAAATCTCATTTTGCCCCAACTACACCCCCTGGCGCCGAGGGGGTGTGGCACAACTCCGGAACACATAATTTTACTCTATTTCACCTATAGATTAAATTGCACTAAAAATCTCATTTTGCCCCAACCACACCCCCTGGCGCCGAGGGGGTGTGGCACAACTCCGGAACACATAATTTTACTCTATTTCACCTATAGATTAAATTGCACTAAAAATCTCATTTTGCCCCGACCACACCCCCTGTCGCCAAAGGGGGTGTGGTCCGGTTGCCCCCAAAAGTTGATAGGATCCTCCCCCTGGGGTCCTATGTATGATGGCGAAAACCGATTTCGATTATCTCGATCCGTTCTCCTGATATCCTGCTGACAGACAGACAGACAGACAAAGTCTTCACATAAAGTAGCTGAAGCTACTTAATAAACACGTACCTACAATGGGAAAACTTTTTTTGTTACAGAAATGCAAAATAAGTCTAGCATTTTTTGGAACTACATATGTTTTGGAATTCGGATTGGGTGTGTGTTCTTTGGTTGCTCAAGAGCAACAACTCAGTCAGTCAGGAAGAAGAAAACCGTTCTAAATTCAGTCGACCGTATCTTTCGCTGACCTTGGATCGGCTATTTTGTTGAACATTTCGATAAATGCACTTACATGATTTCCTCACGAGTTTACGAGCTCCTCAAGAAGGAAGACGGAAGGGGTTTAAAGGGTGACAATAGAGACGGAATTCTTCGTCCCTTGAACAAATTCAATCTTTAGCTTGACTAACCTTTATCTCGGGTTGGTGATGATATGTATGTATGGTAATATCTTAATGTTGGATATACCCACGATTTTTTAAGCAAAGCAGGTAGGATATGTTTCTATATAGGAATATTTAATTGTTGCCAATTGCCTATAAAAACTATCAAGTTCTTACTTGAGCTTTCGCCAAGTTTGCTCGCTTATTAAAGTTGATTTTTATTGTGAGGTTTTATGACGTATAAAGATTAAATGGAGTGAAGCCTAACATGAGAAATGATTGATTTGAAAGGGTTGAAACTATATTGTGTTGTTAAGGCGGAAGTGGTTTATGTTAAAACTTTGGTGCTGGAAACTACAAGTTTGCTGTGTATCTACATCCATAGTATTCAATAGGTTGTAATAATGTTTAGGATGTAAATAGACTGTAAATTTATATTTTTCCCGTAATTAAACAACATCATTGTTAAGATGTGATGCCTTACAAAAGAAAATCTCAATTTCTGGGCCGGATGAAGTAGATTTTACAGTTTTTTATTGGATATTTTTAGCTATCGACTTCCAATTACTTACAAAACTTAGGAGAAAGTTTCTATGCGTCTTGGTCTTATTTTTACCAATTGGTTAAGTGGGTTGTTGATTTTAGAAGTTTTAGAAGTACTTCTGATTCAAAATAGGTTATGAGAACTGCCATATTTTTGTTCCACTTAAAATCATTTCCATTCATGACAAAACTTTTATTACAAGCTCATATTTTTTGAAAACTTCTTATTTAGATTATTTTACCCAGACAAAATCAATTTAAAGTTAGCAAGGAAGCAAAAAAACTTGGCAAATATTTTCTTGCCTAAATCCATGAAAAACAGCGATTAGGAAGCAAATAAGTTGGTGGTATACATAAAGTTAGAATTTGTCACGTGTTGTGTAGGCTTTAAAAACATTTATTTCGTTACAGAAAGTTTGCAAAACTGAATATGAATGTTTTTGAGGGGATGCTTATGCTGCGGCATCAAAGACGAAATCATTGTGTATGATGATGTATGCAAATTTTCCCATCTGGCTGCTTGTGCGAATACTCTGAATTATAAATGTGAGGCTGAAAACAGCATCAAGAGTTGGGGGAGGATGCCACGTACGTAGCTATTGCTTTCTTATGTGTAGTGCATACTCATATGGCGAACGGGGAAAGTTTTGCCATTTGTCGATTTTTTATGACACAGTTTTATTCGAGTTTACTTAAGTTGCAGGCAGACTCCCCGTCTGACGCCTTGACTGGCTCGGTCATCGCATAAATTTCTGGTTTCGTTTTCCTTTCGGTGAAAGTCACCGCATACGCGATAAGTCATCTTTACTCTGCAGCTTTCTTCATTTTGGTATTTTCCTAGGACAATAATGTTCTTCTCGTCGGTTTACATGTATGAACATGATTTTCAGAAAGGGCATCACGTGGCAAACAAAACCCACACATGTATTTAAAATAATTACTGTAACATAAATAGATCAAAATAATTAAGGCTATTTTTGTAATATTTTTTAACAAGGTAGTACTCAAAAATTGTTTATAATCATAGTTTACCCAAAATTTGCGGAACTTGTCTTAAAATCATTCTGGCGTGTCCTCCGATTTTTTTTTTTACTAAATTCAAGAATCAGGCAGAGTTAGGACAGAGTTATGAGAAAAACATAGCTTTGCCAACTGGCTAATGAGTCTTGAAAACTATGAACGAAATTTTGGAACAAATTATTTACGATCAGTGTCCCTGACCTCGAACAACATCCTATTTGAGGTTATCTCGCAATATCGTGCAAACCCGTAATTACGCGGGCGTTTCATCCTCCTGGTAATTCCATCAGATAACAGCGGTTCCACCATGAAAGTTCCCCGTATTGGGTTCCACCTTCACCTTTACGAAGATAAAACGGGAGCAAATTTCTATCATTGTGAATTCTGTCAATGTATAATGAAGGTTGATATGTAAATATTATCATATTGAAACTGGGTTCCTTCGTTCAGTGGTTGATTTATCGGGTGAGTGAAGAGTGAGTGAGCACAAGCCTTGAGCCTCAATAAATACATTCGATAACTTCGGTGACTTCAAAGTGAAAGAAGGTTTGCAGAATAAATATGGACATAAGTTGGTTCATTTGGCTGCAATCCTCGGGGGGAGATCGACCTGGCATGTGCTCCTCGTTTTGACAAAGAGCAATAAAAAGTCAGAGTTATGAAGAATTTCCTCTCCATTTTTTAGAAAACAATCGAAAAATTCATTCGATTGAGAGACAATAAGCCAGCTAGCATTTCTCCATCAAAAATTATTGAATTTTAGCCCCATTCTGTAAATAAATGTAGCTATTTTCTCAAAAATAAGTTTTTATATCGATATCATGCATGGTTATCGACGAGAGGTGGTTTGTAGTACTGTTTGATTGATATTGATCCACTGCTACACTTATAAATATATATCCCTTGCTGGGTTGGTACTCGGTAGGCGGTCTCCTTTTTATTGCTCTTAATATTGAAGTCTTTTATCTCTACTAAATTGGTTTCTCTCTGTAATTTCAATTTTTTACGACTTTCTCTTCGAATTATTGGACGAAATGAGAAATATTTTTTGCAAGCATGTCTTTCGGCTTATATTCAGTTTGCAAATGTTATTTTTTATTTGTTTCGTGAATAGAAAGGCTGTGCAAATATTGCTTTCGCTTCTTTTTCTGGTCATGAATCATATCCGACTACTGAAACCACGAATAATAAAAAAAGCTAAACTAATGTGCAAGCAACACCGACCAAGCTTCTTCTTGGATAAATATGTACGTACCAGCCACCAAGGAACATTACACACTTTTCCACACCACACAACTAACTCGGTCAGTGGTGAAAGTAGACTGCAATGACGTCAAGGGAATGACAATTGACAATCGACATCCACACACAAGCATGGAACACATGACAAGAAGACAATGAATGACAAGACACATATGCAAAATCTAGCCAAAGACGGGGATATATTATCCTATTGAGTTTATTCGTAATAATAAGGGCAATTTTCAGAGGTCGAATATTATTAGAAAAAAATACGAAAAGAAATTAGTACAGGAAAATTACAGGTATTGCATGATTTCGTCATTTATCCTTTTCTGCCGTGGAGAATTCTTTATTTCGGAGTAGAAATGTCAAATTCGCAGAAATGAATACATAACATACTTCACTTTATAGGAAATTGCGAAAAATATATTTCTTTTATTTTTTGTTTGCTTGATATTGAATTATTTATTGATTAAATAATTACCAGTTTACTGTATTGAAAGAGTATTATTTTGTAAGATTGATTACAAAACCAGTCCATAATTTAGCGAGTATGTAAGGTAAACGTTTTTCTAGAAAGTGGCGGATTTCGTACAAAAATTTGCAAACAATAGACTGGTCAATCGTTATATTTTAGTTTGTAATTTGCACACGTAGTAAATAATCAAGTGAGAAGTCACGAAGGATTTACACCGGGAAGGCGGTGGGGTGATGGTATTATTTGAGGTTTGCGTGGCTACACTGGGAGAAAATTTAGCGCAGACCAGGGCCATAGAATTATTAGAGGTCGTGCCACGTCATGTCAATCATGCAAATGTAAGTGCAAATTAGTGCTAAATTTTGTTCCGAGTTGGAAATGCGGGATTGTCATGTCCAGTTTATTCTAGTGCAGTATCCTCCCTTCAATCATGAATATCCTGCTGTTCCCCAGCAGCAGAAGTGTCACTAACACAAAAACCAAGTTTTTGGCACAAATATTTCATTTTGATTTCAAATATTGTTCCTCGAATTTATAAATAAATATTCATTTTCCTCGTCCGGAAGTACATAACAAGCCCATTCCATTAATAAATAATCCTGACTTCAAGATTTCACCCTGACCAGATCCCGATTTCCAAAATACCTACCAACAAAACCCCTTAAATAGCACCCGTCCAAAAAAATTACCCATTTCTCTCTTGCCAAAATTGGTGGTGGGAAATAGCACGATCCCCAGAAACACTAACAACCTTGATTGATTGGCGTGTGTGGGCATGGCTCAGCTGCCACATACGATACGATATATAACCAACCAACTAACAACTAACAAGCCCACCACCCTGATGACGAGGTATTAAAGGTCTGAAATTTCACACGAAACAAATAAAAGGGGGAAAAGTGCAGCAGTTCGATTCACATCGCATTAGACTGCATCACACAATGGCGAAAGAAAAATAACAAAGCCATTTATTTGCGAACAATACCGGAAGACGAGGTTACTTTCTTCTTCGCCCTGCATGACTTCAACTCAAGTGAACAATCAAAATCATGTTGAGCCCAGTTATGCATGCATGTAGACAATTCGTCGCATAGACGACGATTGGGTTTCTCTGTTTGCCCAATTTCTTGTAACAGAAAGTGGGAAGTAATATGCATCTCGCGTGCGGAAAAAGCAGTTTGGCGAAAGTTTCACGGAACAATAAATGCAAAATGAGTCTGAACAAGTAGCATGTTCAGTCGGAGGAACGATAAGGTTTTATAGTTATGTCTGGAAAATTGCAGCGGATAGGATTTCATAAAGTTTGGCAGTTAACCCGGAATTAATCATAATCATATAACAGGTATTAACAAATCACTAAAAACACTAACTTAGTCTTGTTTCTCTTCACGAGCTGCTTTGATCTTGTCAAATTCTTCTTTGAATTCTTTTCGGGACTTTTGGTTGGTGTAAAAATAGCTCTCCGGAGGGTCGCCAACTTCACTGATAAGGTGAGCCAAATCCTGGAAGCTTTTGTAGTGTCTCTTAACCTCTGGCCTATCTGGATCAAAGCGGAGAATGAGCTCTTCCTCAGTGATGGTGTAAGGTAGGGTGGTTGCTTCTTCCATGGTGGCCCAAAGGGGAGGATGGGACCGGTCCCCTTTTTCTACAATACGGAACAGGGGGATTTCGTCTTCTGCGTATTTGATGGCCTTTTTGATGTACTCAAAGTGGGGGGAAGCCGTGTCTGTGTCAATGTACCGTTCATAGCCAACTACTTCGTTTGTCTTTCTCGCATAGGCCTAGGATTGAAAAAGAACATTTGCTTTTCTTTTGACCGGTCAAAATAAGCATAAATATGTATGAAGTTACACTACTCACCATCAAAAACCCTTCAAGACATTGTTTTGTCGCAGCGGAGTCGCACAGAATTACTTTGTTCTCCATACAAGCTAAAGGATTCAGGCTGCCAATAGTACGGAGGTAGATATGACTCGGATCTAATGTCTTGGTAAAGTGAGTATCGCGCATTGAAAAATAACCAGTAGTGCCAGCGAAGATCCCGATGTAATACAATAGCCGGAGAAGAGTTTCACCTTCTAGGACCGGTCCAAATTCTTTCTTCATGATTTCAATTAAACTCATGTTCAGATGTTCCTTGGCGAATAATGTGGCAATGTACACGATATCCAATGGGGGACGTTTATCCTTTGAACTCGAATTGCTGTGTTTGATGGTTTCATGTAGAGGATGATTGGAATCTCTATATTCCATGGTCCTTAATCTGCGAGACTGAGATATTCCGTCTTTCATGACCTTTTTGTAGTACGATACCAGGCTGTTTCTCGCACCAGACCTGATCACGTAATAACCCTTAACTTTCGAGCCTATATATAAATAAATCCAAATTAACTGTATACATGCATAATAATTACGTAACAATATCACACATACCGGGAATTTTTGTGTCGAATTGGACAAGTAGTTTCCCTTTTCGACGTTGTTGACCCCAGTTGGCTGCTTCTTCCAATTCCAATCTTTTGGTGTCATTGCTCACAGGAACCTTCATCTTCATCACCTCGTCGAGCCAATCCAATAAAACTTCGCGGTGGAACTGTTCGTATACATTGTCCGACAACTGTAACAACATTGAATCGGTTCAAATTGAGTCTAAAAGCCAAACAACAATATCAAACAAATAAACGTGCTCACATCTCCGTGTCGGTAATGAGGAACTGGGATTCCGCGTGAAGGGTCGGGTTGGGGGCTGACCTCCTCCGTGTTCTCCAATGTCCCTGCTTCTTCTTCCTGACCAGTCTCTTCATCATCACTAAACGTCCTGTAAATCAACAAATTACATTATTTTATTGAACTAATTGAAGTTAATCCAATGTCATCAATCGTTGCACCGGTGCAGACAAAAATGACAATAATTTAATAAACGTTTCTTACAAATCTACAACACCCGAATCGTCCAGTCCATTCTCTTCGACCTAGGATAAAATGGATTAGCACGCGATATAGACAAGTAGATTTGTAAACAGTAAAGTAAATAATATAATATTTACTGCGCTTTGAACAGCTGTCATCATCGAGGACGAAGTACATGGTTTTGGACTGGCCTGGCGTAAGGACTGATCTTCTTCCCTAGCACTAGAATCCACAAAACTATTATTAAGATTCAACAAGAGAGCAACAATCAAGTTATCCGCTAAGGATCAAGAATATATAAAGAAATACTAAATAATTAAATATTTGCGTACACTTGGATAGAAGTTTGACCGGTCAAAACAACACGAGGCGCAGCATTCTCCTTTTCGTGTTGTTCTGATTGATCAAAACTGAAAATAATAAACTGTTAGAACTGGAATGAAAATACTAATATTTTGACCGGTTCAATATAATTAACTTACCCAAGAGTTGATGACCGTGGTCTTTTCTGAACAAATGTATCCAAAGGACCAGATCCCACTTTGTCCATCGACTTAACAGGGGGGACCCTTTTAGGCATGGTGGAATGGGGGGGTGTGGCCTTGAGAAAGGCATTTGCTTTAATATTTTATAGTTGAAAAATTAGATTGCACAGGAAGAAATAATTTGCTGCTCTCGCACGCACTCCTAGCTGACGACTGATTGATTTGGAGATTATGCGGGGGAGTATGAATTACTCGCATTTTTGTTACACGATTTGTCAAGTTTGCACCGGTGCAAATAATGTGTGCTGGTTCTTTAGACGTGTTTTGACTTGTTTATAAACTCGTCTTTTATTTCCCTCCTTCCAGCATGTGGGTCAGTTTTTGGCTGTTAATATGCAGAAGGACGGCACTTTCTACATATTTGAGCTTTCTAGCTATAATTAAGTGATGTCCGGTTAAATTTACCTGATTTGCAATATATTGCAATATTGACATTGTGACATTGCATGCAAATACATAAAATGGTGTCAAAACTTTTATAACTTTCCATCAATCTACTAAAGTTCCCACTTGGATTTTATTTTAATAGGAATGTGTACAAATTTTGGGTGCAATCTTTACATAAATTTCTTCATTTCTGCGTCTTTTTAAGCATGATTACGACACTTTATAAGTTATAGCGTCTCTGTTCATTTTCGTGTTTAAGTGCATGGATGGATGGGTGCACGACTGTTGTAGCGTTCGTGGTGAAAACTCGTGCTGAAACAAGGCCAGAAACCCACGCTGTTTTTGGATGGAGAGAAAGTCAAGGTGTGTTTGTTCAGGTTATAATAATCACTGGAGCCAAAAATTTCTTTGCGCCATCCAACTTTCCGCATTACCGATTCCCTGGCTTCGAATCAAAAGCGTGAAGTGTGGAAATTAAGGGACGCACTATTTCACACAGATCTACACGTTTTACAAGTATTATAAATATATTTATGTATATAATTAATTTTATTGCAATTAAAAAATTAAATTTCTTCGCATCAAAATTAAAAAATTGTCTCAATTTGCCCCAATTTAAAGTTATTTATCATCAAATTCCTTATTTTTTCTTATTGTGTTGTAGAACGACCTTGTTCGTTCGTTAGCACTCCTCCTCCCAGTTCAGAGATTAGTCAGCGTTGGTGAAAGGCGGAAATACAAAGGATGATAGATGAGATGACAAACTACGTCCTTCTCGTCGGTGATGACGGGATGACGGGAAGAAAAACCTTTGTCAGGGTTAATTTGTCAGTGGTGAACTCTCTCCCACTGACTCTGCTTGTCATCAACTTTCTCTTTTGTTAGTGACTCAAGAAAGCAAACCAAAGCAGACTCAGCCTCGCTTATTTTGCTAAATTCCTTCCTCCCTTGACTCATTGTTGTCGCCTTGTTATTCATTTTGGGGATTGAAAAACAGCCAAAAAAACAGGAACTTAGTTCTAATTTTCAAATTTCATTTTTTTCAGATATCCTCCCCAACAATCGACCCATTTTGCATCCACAGGTTTCCATTTCACTTCAAGGCCACAAAAGAAAAGAAGAATCGTCCAACAAAAACCTTGCCATTTTGACGACTCATTCTCTTTCATTCAGTTTCAGTTCAAAACTAAATCTCACAATGATAGCGAGTGATACAGGAAAATGGCCCGACTCAACAGGGGAGACGAACCATTTAACAAGATGAGTGGAGCCGTTTTATGCCGAGATGAAAGTGAAAATAAGGCGGATGTCGTCGTCCGTAGTAATGGAACGACCCAACAAAAGCACCATCATCACGAAAATGAAAAGTATCTCTGAAAACGACCCGGATATTTGAGACGGATGCTGTGCTCCTGTTATTGTGGTTGGTTGTGAATATTTAAAAATAGTGCTGGATGTTTTTTTCTTTGTGATACAATAATCCCACCTGGTCGCAAAGTGCAGTAACCATTGTTTTGCTACAGTAAAGCATAATTATTATACTCATCTCTTCTCGCAGTTCAATTTGGGCGAAAGCAGTGTTACATAAAGTGAGATATAACTTGTAATTTCAAGCAATAAAATCTCTCAGAAAATAATGAAAACAAGTTTTTGTACTTGTGTATCCATCCCAAAGTTTCCGAAACTTATTGGATTTCCACTGCAGTAAGAGTGAGTTAAGTTAGTTGTTCCTCTCTCCTGAAGATTTTTGGAGTTTCTACAAGAAAACTAGTCTTTCGCAATGAGAATATGATTACGAGAGAATTTTCTCAAAAGTGAGTGAAAATCCGGAGCAGTGAGGATTTTGCAATGATCCCTGACGAAGTTGGGACGTGATTCTTGTCACCAACCACCCGTAAAGAAGTAAGTCATGGATCTTCTCAACCTCATCAACCACGGCTTATGACGATGATGCCAGAGAAATGTGTAAGCAGCAGCAGCTTAGTCGCTCCTCCTCGAGTATAAGGAAGAAGAGAGAAAGTAAGTCCAAGGTGGAGATTGTCTCCTTATCCAAGCAATTTGCATAAAGTATATATTGTGAAATTAAAACAGCTCCTCCAAATAACTGAGCGCCCTATTTTCACGTACTGGATTTATAATACCTGGCCTTTCACTTGATAAGCAAGTGGACAAATGGGGCTTATTGCGTATGAAATCGTAAAGGTGGACGGGTCGAGGTGGGACCATTTTATTGCGATACGTGGATACACGAAAAATAAATTGTTTGCAAAGGTGGACTCACTTCAGGATTGAGTTACGAGAGTTTCGAACCCATTTTGCTTAGCAAAATCGGTATAAAAAAGCGTTCTCCTTTCTATTTTCACTTAACTCGAAATATGAAACTTTTTCCGTAAAAGTTCGTCCAACCAGTTTCATAAACAGTATTATGCATTTTGCAATTTAATAGCTTATGCCAAAATTGTGAAAGCCTGAGGGATGAATTTGATCCCAATTCCACTTTTTGGTTAGTTTTGAATTTAATAGGGCTGAAACTCTCCAATAAATACGTACGTACGCAGGGCTTTCTTTTGTAGCGACGGGGGCTCTATTGGTCCACCGAATATAATGCAATATGTGGACAATGGAGGCTGGAAATAAGCCAAGTCCAAGTAAATAATTCAAGAAAGCCAGGAAGAGTAAACCTTCGGATGGTACAAAGGTAAGCAGACCACTCGATTGGAGAGAGGGACACTTTCAAATTAAATTTTAAAGAGGGACTGCCATCCACTTGGGTCGTAATGAATACGGGTGCAGAATTTATTAGCTGGTGTAGCGGCGTAGGTTTGGCGGGATGTCTGAAATAAAGAACGTTTTGATAGAATATAGGAACGAAGTGTATGTTCGTATTTAGTTGGACGACAAATTTTCGTTCAGATATAAAACGCTTCTCTTTCACTGAACTGATATTTTATGGGAGCGGAAATGTCCGACTTTATCGCAACAGGATAAAGTGACTTGTAGGACAAATGCTTCATAAAATAGTGAAAATGTCCGAAACTGCGAATGAGACATTCTCACATCGTGACTCGGAAAAAAACAAGATGATCAATATTATCTTATCCCGAGTAAGAAATGAGACATTGGTTAAAGATCACGGGTTTTAGTGTTTATCAAGATTTGCTTTATCTTTCACGGGTGCAAGCGGCCGATGAGTTTGATTCATTGCGAAAGTCCTGCGTTTTTGTGGGTCCTTAGCTTCGTAAAAGCTCGTGATTGATTAGAGCTGAATGCTAGAAGAGATTAGTAGAGCGGGGTGTAATGCGTCTGAAAACGAACAAAAAATAGAAAATGGTATCTATGCTAAAAATATATTCCAGAATTTTGCACTCGCCCAATTTGTCCTGCATTTCCGAAACGTAAAATTAAGAGGCGAGTATCAGTGGCCGCGGAAGCGTGGGGGCGGGAGGACAATGTCCCCACGTTTATTCGATGTCCCTCTCATCTGCCCATGTTACATAAACCCCTCCCTCCCCTATCCTACAATGTTAATGTCCCAGAAGTCCCCACGGCTTCCGAGGCCATGCCACACTTACGAAAAGTGGCATAATCCTCGTTGACTCGAACATATAAGATAATATACGTCACGGACCATTGCATCTCTTTAAGTGCTTGGAACAAAAGCGTTACAAACAGGGCGAGTAGCAGCATAAACATTTTCTCATACTTCGCTATGATATCGTATCGCCGTGGTGGTATAGATATTTGGAGAAAGCAGACTTAAAATTCTTCACTCATCACTTGAATCATCACCTTCTTAGCGAAAAGCCTGCGAAGAAGCCGACAGCTCTCCTTCTTCCCAAGAAACAAACCCACATGGACGATATTTTGAGCTTACTTTCACCAACCAAACCGACTCAAAAAAGATCCTGCATGCTGCTGTCGTGGTGTGTCGTTAGGCTGAGTGAAGCGTGTAAGGTGGTATTATCCGCAGTAATAAAACCCAGTTTACCACCAACCAGACCACCACCACTACAAAACTGACTGACGACACGGGACAATTGAGATGGTACCTCTCTCTCCCTTATATAACCCAATCATACGGGAAGGTATTACTGCCCAGGAATTTCGAGTAATTGCAACTCCTCCGTTAATTCTCTGCAATCCAATTAAACACGATTTTGCAATTTTAGCAGCAAGCAATTTAGAAATTGTTGAAGTACAAAGTACAAAAAATACTTTGGAAGGTTTTCTTTTACTTGCGTAGAATTTGACCTTTTTATATGATTTTATGGGGCACATTTTACCTCAACTTGAGGGAGGAGTAGGACGTTCTCCGTTACTCACGCTACCACCACATCCATCGCGGTTAAAGGGTTTAGTGGTTGACGTTGGGCAGATAAGTTCTTGTGCAGACTTTCTCCAGACGTAGAGATACCTTCTCCCATACAGATCGTCCAGCACGTAGCCCAAAAATTTCTGTCTGATTTTTCCTTAGAAATTTTGAAGGTAACGTTTCCTCTGCCCACTCCAAGTCTTATAAATTTCTTTAAACCATTCGCATTATTTTTTCTAATCCTTTCCATAAGTTTATAGCCCCTCAGGAATTATTTCGAAATGGCAGACTTTAGCAAACATTTATTCACTCGTGTGATATCTCAAGTAGAAAAACATAATGAGCCACGGCCCCGTAACGTGGAAGGAACCTCTTCTTCTTCTTCTTCTTCTTCCTACGTAAAGTGTAACGACTTTGTTACACATTTCAGGGGAGAAGTATCTATCCTCCCGACGCTGCGTTTGTCGTCCTATTATTCCTCCAACCCGACTTTGTAGGCCAGCCAGAGGAGAACGAGGAAGATGTTTTCCAGCTAATGGAAAAATATGTACTTTTCTCATTAAAAGAGTTAAGACCTGTTAAAGGAGGGAATGCTTTCTACTTTACTCTCTTTTCTTCTTCTTGCATCCCGTTTGTCCTGGTGGAGGAGAAAGTGTGTTTGTAACGACTCTGGGGATGCAGTGGTCCTAAAAGCTTCACCTTTTTGTGCAAAAATACATACACAAATGGCCCCCATAAAAAATAAAGGATCACTGAAAATCTGCAAAACGCAAAGAGAGAGAAAGAGACTTGATATCAGGCTTAATTTGATTTCATTTCAGACTCAACGATGACATTTGAGGTGCTGCTGCCATTTTTTCTCGGCTGCTGTGCCCTCCTTCCCGTCATGAATCCGGTGATTGCTCAATATGTCTCGTACGCGACGCGAGATCCAGTCAAGTACGTTGCCCAATTTATTTCTTCCCTTATGAAGATTTAGTCTCCTTTTACGACGATTGTGAATGGATGTGCCTAAACATTAATTGAACATAAATGGCATCGAGCAGCAGCGGGAGGAGAAGCAGGTTCATAATAATGTCGACATAATATAATGGGCAACAGCACATGTGCAAAATATTAAGCCATTAACTGACATAACTTGCGTACATCTCGACTTTTATTACGTATTTAATATTCATAACTCATAATCCACGCCAGCAAAGCGAATAATAATCCGGCCTTCATCTCCACGAAGAATGGGATGGGTTGCCTGTCCGCTTCAGGCCAGGCATCAAGTTAAGATTCCCATAAAACGCATACATGAGATACATATAAACAGTTAAAAATGTAGCTGGAAAATAGGAAAAATATCCGCGGGGGTAGACAACAAATAAACAAAAGTATGTACTTTTACACGTGTATATACGTACGGTATGTAACGTACTTTCTCCAGAATATGTACTGCTCACTGACAAAGCAAAAAGTGGTGAATCCTAAAATAATTCAAGTGGTGGCGAACAGTTTTGTGGAAGGGGAACATTACGTTATAATTTGCGATGCCTTGTAGCAGAATTTCATAAGTATTTTACTGCTAGTTGGACTGCAAGGAAATCAAATGTGGGTACATACATGCACGAGGATCAAAAGCGGTACTAGTTTTTAGCCAGAGTCAGGCCTTATGTAGCCGTCATGGCTTGTCTGTCTGTCTATCTACCGATTACGCTCTTACAACTTTTCAAGTTGAAATTTTGCACACACGTGGAATATGCAAAAGTTAGGAATCAAGTTCGAGGATGAGCAAAATGCGTGGAAAAATAGATAAAAGTTGAACTGGCAATATTATTTATACCCACCTCAATTTTAATAACAACCTGACTCGGGCTAAAAAAGGCTGGCACTGTGGGTTTTACACATCCAGCATGCATCTCTACATACGTAATGCGAGCCGGGCTATGAGCTCACATCATTATTATGCACAAAACGGAAAGCGAGTTCCGGAGAGAAAGATGTTCATTCAATACACGACAATCTTTCCGGAATGAATGGAGTAAATTATAAAGAAACAAAAGTGGAGATCAGATCCTTCCCCTCGTAACTTTCACCAGCAGAGAGTCAAACCATGTATAAAATGCATGTAAACAGATCCAACACACAAAACTTTGCCGGAAGCGTACACTGCGGTTTCCTGGTGCATATCTCATCTCAGATCATGTTCAGATCATCATTTATACAACGTTGTAGATTTTTTTAGGCAGAGGCAAATTCGTTCCCGGAAGAAAATCTTTCTATTTTATTTTATGCTATAAAATTTCCTAAAATATTACAGGATTAGCACTGAACTGAGTGAAAAGGCGGCGTTGGACGAACTACTTCACAAGTCACAGTACGATCGAAGACTCCTTCCACCTACAATAAGTGAGTTTCATACAATAAGTGAGTAATTTTAGCCTACATATGTACATACATATTTAGTTATCCTATTATTTCCACCCATTTGTACGACTAACCAACCAACCTCAACCCTTTTAAAAAGGAAACATTGCGACATTTTTAGCCAAATTAATCCAATCTGTTTACTCACGTTTCAAAGCTTTTTTTCCGCTGTTTGCCCTCCATTTAATTTGCATTCTGTCGTCCAAACTATTGGCAAACTTCAGAGTGGAGGTCGTACTACGACTGGCTGTCTCCTTTTTTGAGTAGTAGTAGAAACGTCGAATGGAAATATATATCAAGTGTGGTCCTTCAACTCGAGGATGAAAATCTTGTAAGAGCACTTCAACCCATGCTCGTTATTCCGTTTCCAACAATTTGTTTGCCACGACGAACGACAGGCATTTCTGCCATAACAATGTGTCAACTTTCATTTTCGGGGGGAAAATCCGCAATCACAATTACATATGCACCCACCTTTCACTCACCAACCAACCACCCACTTTCTCCAAGTTTTCTCTAGAAGTACTTACTCCGTCGAAATTTTATATTTTCAGATTCGTTAGCGGTGAACGTGAGCGTGCTTTTGCTAACTTTAGCCTCTCCGGATGAAAGTTCTTTGGTAAGATGTTCGATTAAATTAAAAGTGAAAGTTCTCCGTTATGTATGTAACTTTAAGTGGTTACGAAGGCATCACCACCGCCACGGACCGTGCTAAATTAATGATTGTGTAATCATAATGTATGACAAATTCTGACGACTGAACGAACGGTGAAAAATTCTTTGCTTTACACACAATGAAAGTTGATTAACTTTTGTAAACTTTAAACTAGTAGACGGGAAGTTGAATTGAATGGCTGGAGGTTGAGAATTTAAGAGACCTCGTTTCATCTCGGAGTCATTTTTATTTCATAGAAGGAATTCTCTATAGTATGTGCTTACATGGAAAATGGCAATTGTGCGGGGTGGGGTAGGTACAATGGCGTAGATCTACTTATACCAAGGCGGAGGCAGAGTAAGTAATTGTGTAGGTTTCAGGTTAAAATTCAAAGGTGGTGAATGGTTGAACACGCCTTCGGTTATGGGATGCGAGAATGAATGGCTATTTGACTTTGGACAGAAATTGGTGCTTCCAAAGAATCTATTGTACTTCTCAATCTCTGAGAATTTCAGAGTTGTGTAAAATAAATGTGTAAAATTATTTGGGAGCGTTATGTAATTTATGGATGAGGTTGGTGACGAGGTAGAATTTTCGTAAAATTCGAGTAGATATATTTTATAAGATGTAATAAATGTGAGTTTGGTTGATTTGTTTAAGAAAATGTGTATGTACATTCAGAAATATTGGGCAACAAATTTTTATATTATATATTTCCGGAAATTTGTATATAAATAAATTTCTTATAATTAATAATTAATTCAGTGTTTGAGGGCATAATAATTACTTGATAAGTAAGCTTTCAGCATTCCTTCCTCGGGGAAAACTGTCATACACTAAAAATTCATGCATAGGTTTCGTAATTATTTTCATAAATTGATAAATAAATTCCTGTGCTTTTTTTAGAAATATGAAGTAGAGTTTCTCATGAACCTATTTTGGTTTGATCCACGTCTCAAGTTCCACCTGTTCAACACGACGGGAACTCATCTCGACGTTACGTCCGAGTATCACGAAGCCATTGTAATTTACTATTTATGCATTAAGTCTCATAATATTTAACCAAAAGAAGTATCATGAAATATAAAATGTTTAATTACCCAGCCAATGAGGGCCAACCCACGAAGAAGAGATTATCTGGACGCCCTGCACCATTTCGGCAAGGTACGTTGTTTTATATGGAAGACAAAGAGTAGTGAATTACAAAATACGTGATAAGTAATGCAATGTAAGTTCCTTTATTAAGGAGTGAAAGTCCTTTATATAACATCCTTATGCCTGTCTGTCCGTCCTTTGATCCGATAACACTAATGAAACAATCGAATTATTTAATTCGAATTGTTTAATTTCCGATATCACTAATTGTCTGCTTGGGGTGACGGGCAAAAAAGTCCCGTCGATTAACTGGCGTGTATGTACTATGTGGGGTGACCAGACTACTCATTAATAGAGACAGCCAGGCCAGCGGCGGTAGCGCATTTAAGGCTAATTGCCGACAACTGGCGTGTATACTAATTACTAATATGTACATAATGTTCACCTTTATATATTTATGTATCTTATGCCCATTACCAATATCGGCGTCTTATTTTTCTAGGTTTGGGTGCCAGACGTATATTTCGTTAAAGTAAGCACGAGACAAAATCAACGCTATTTATTATTTCATCCTTTCTTAAAATAATTCGTACCCGTATTTTTATTTTCAGCACGGAGACTTCAGGACTAATCTCGACCCTGTGAACGTCGCTCTCAGAATATACCCCAATGGCACCGTCCACTTTACAACACGGTACGTACATAAAAAACTTTCTTCCGCCTAAATTAATTTTGTCGTTTTTTTAAGATACAAGCAGACTCATCACATAGCATTTTTTATCTCTGTAGAGCTTAACCTAGTTAGCAATTCTCCCGTAATGATTGGCGATCATCTTTGACCAAAGTTTGCACATTTTTGTACCCAACGCTAAGTGGGAAAGTTACTTTGGTTGGTTGGTTGGTGAAACTTGGCATGATGTAAAACCAAGGAACCGGACTGTTTGGCAGGTGAAGTTTTTTCCTCCAAGGTCCCACCTACCAAGGATATGCTCGTCTTTTTTAGCAGTGCCGGCGGAAGTTGGGGGGACATTAGTCTTGTCGGATAGGGACTTATTAACATGGGAAAGATACGATTTTTCGAAATTTGTGTTGGGACAAATGTCCCCTTGTCCCCATGCTTCCTTCCGCCGCCAATGTTTTTGAGCAGGCAGTATATATAGCACAGCGTCGTTGTTGGTCTTTGGCCACTTTATGACTTACTCAGCTTTCTCCAGCCCATAGGGTTCCCATCGCATCCTTCTCTTGTTTCAGTTTTAACGAGGAGGAGGAGGTGCGGATGGAGATGGCGAAACTGTAAAAGAAAGTTTGCACTTTTAAGTTTCCTCTTTGCCAAAAAGTAAGGCAAGAAGAAAGAGTCTCCTGAGTGAGGTGATTTAAGTGCTGGCTAAGTCGAGGTACGCCTTACTTTTGAGACCTCCAATCTTTACCAGACATCGGTATAACGTGGCAGTACTGACTTAGGTTGGCTATATTTACGGGTTATATATCGGATTAAATGAGAATTTGGTTAGTTGGGTCAACTAATTAATTGAATTGTAGAATCGTAACATGACATTATTACCCAACATTCGTTTCTTTTGAAAATCTGGGCGAGCAAAACTTTGGTGCAAATTTACAAGCGAAAACCTACTCAAATTGGAACATTTCCCACTCATTTTATTTTATCTCATCAGTTTCTCTAATACCCGGAAGAATTCCGTTACCAACTCTAATCCAGGTATGAGTTGGTTTGTTGGCGGAGAAAGTTCCATGTCCGACATGAACCTAACTTGAACGAACGAGCACCAACAAAGAGTCAAAACTGAAAAGTAGCAGTAAGCAAGCTGTGAAAATATATTTATGAGGAGGAAAAGCCTGTCGGTTGGCAGACACCACTTTCACATTTCTTATTTCTTTGTGCTTTCACTCGATCCCTTTGAAAATAGAATTTATAAAATGTATCTACTACTCGGCTCATACACGCGGACGTCATTTCCATACCAGAATTTTAGAATTTTCTCTGACCCACTTTCACTCTTTGGTTTTCACCACCTTATGGCATTCGGGAGGAATTTCGTCATTTGTTTCATCTCACACTGTGCACAGAAATATACTTGAGCTCATTTTCAGTCAAGTTGATTGTTTGTTTTAGCAGAATTATTAATCCTAATCCTAAGTGGGGATAGCTGCTTATTGCGACTGTTTTGTCCGTCCTTCTGTCTGTCCGTACTTAAGCAGGATATCTCCAGAACGTTTGAACATAATCATACGATGTTTTTGGCATTGTGCTTCTAATTTTTGACCCGTAGAGGTCGAAGATGGGACCCCTGCGGTAAAGGTCAAGGTGACCCTGGTGTGAGGTCAAACGCCAAATTGGACCTTACTTTTCACATGCGGTGTCATTTTAAAGGAAATTTCACAACAAATTCAATAATAATCGTCAATATTTTTGACCTAGGACCAATCCATAACGAAGGTCAAAGATCAAAAATACATAATTTTTATGTCCTATCATTTTACATTTTACTGTATGACGCCACTTTTTTACATTCGCTCGAGACAGTTTATTTATTTATGCTTTCTTCCGTTCCCCTTAAATCTGGCGTATCAAAAATTGGTGAAGACTTGATGAATCGGAAAAGTTGGACGATTTGTAAAAGTACCCTCCCTCCCCGCCTACCTGGATTTTGGCATTTCAAAGGTAATTCATCACGTTCAAACTTTTCGCCTCGGCCAAAGTACATATTCCGATGATAAATTAATATTCTGTCAGAGTACGTCACAGAGTCGCACTTTCACTCTTATGTACATACACCGACGCCCTGACTAAATTTCAGGTTTGCGTCATTCCCGTCCAAACCAAATTGGGCGAATTAGTACGACGAGCCTCCTGGTTGGTGGGTTGGTGATGAGGATGTGGTGAATATTTAATTGGTGGAGGCGTGTCATTTTGAAACGATTTTAAACCTAGGTAAAAGAGATCGAAGATTTTCCCTCATTTGAATTATTGGTTTTTGCCTTCTACTAAATTCTACTAAATTATTCACATGGACAAACATGCCAATGCAAATTAGTCATGGTCAAATAATTTTAAATCGTACAATAAGCCATTAAAGGGATCAAAAGCGAGTAGACAATTGTGTGTGGCAGCCCCGTCAGCAAATGTTTTACATTCTGACCGTGAAAGCAATTGAGCAAACTTAGATATTGTTTCTGCCACGTAGCCTGGATGGATACGTTTCACAAGCATGCACGAATTCCCAGATGAGATGAAACGAAACATGTATGTAGTTTGCACAAGGTTGAATAGTACGAAAACAAAGGAGCACAAAATATCTAGACGAGGAGGGCACACGTTTCAAAGTCATGTAGTAACAAACAAGCCGGAGTAGTAGTTTTTGTGCAAAAACGGTGGTTCAATAGTGGGCAGCAGCATTATTATTACAAATATTGCTGTACAAGGTTGTAGCTTATTTGGCTAGATAACAAAAGACCCGGAACAAAAACAAAGGTCTGCTGCATATCTAAATCTTTTCCGCCCGATCTCATGTGCATTATGATGGAAAAACAGCAATAAACTGTGCCGAATTGGGATATATTAGTACATTTTTATTTGTTGGCATTTGGCTTTTATGCGTATGGCGTATGTATGTATTTGTGTAGCAATTACCCCGTTTATTGGTGCATATATAGTTGTGCATACATATGTAATGGGTTTTATGTATTTGGTAGTTGTAATGTGTCGGGTATGTTTACAGGAAGTATAATCTATAATCTATGTACGGGTTTGGGTTTGTCAAGATTCTATGAACAAAAGTATTGATGGAAGTGTAACATCAAAAGAGAAAGTGGGAGAAAGTATTTATTACATTATTCTTGTTATCATTGTCGCGTGCTTTCATTTTGTGGAACAAGATAACCTTTAACACAGTTTTTATACGTACATAATTCAAACAGGGTTAATATTTCTGATTTCCATTTAAAGCAATATCAACAGTTATTCTTGTTTTTTGTGTATTTCAGCCGCCACTTAATACTCTCGTGTCAAGGGGAGCTGGGTATCTTTCCGTTCGATGATCCTCTCTGTGAATATAATGTGAGTGACCTTCATTACTTGGCTTGACCTCTGGGGATCTTAACAATGGAGGTCCCCCAGCGTATGCTCTCCGATTTTGGCCAAACTAGTGTAAATCGATCACAAAAAATTATATGAAATTTTCAAAAGACACGATCTCCCAATGCTAAGGTCTGGCAGAGATATTTGCATATGAAGAGGAGAACACGCGCAGTGGAAAAATTTGTCAACTTTAAACACGTTTTCTCTTCAGTGGTTGCAAATATCTTCGCCAAACCTGGACATTGGCAGATTGTGCTTCTTTCAAATTTCATGCGAATTAAATTTTTGATCAATTGACACTAATATGGCCAAAATCAGAGAGCATACTCTCGGCGACCTCCATTGTTAGCAATTCCCCCCATTTCAAAATCTCCCATAAATTTGTGCAACTTAACTAAAACTGTTTACATTCTTACTTTTATTCCAGATTGAAAGCAGTAAGTCATTCTTCCCCTTCATTTTCTAATTTTCTCCGTGCGACTCACTTTTCCTTCGAGAAAAGCCTACGAACGACGACGCAAACTTATGAGCCCACTCTCACCACTGCATTCTTCCTTTGTTCCCTTTAATGTAGTATCACACGAAAAGGATGCTTTGGAATTCAGGTGGCAAACGAGGACGGGAGTTCTGAGGAAATCACCGAATTTATCTTTTCTCAACGCATACCTCGCCCATAACGAGACCAGCTACTGCGAGTCCTCACATTGGCGTGGTAAGTTCATAGGCAGAATGTGGTCACACGGGGATACGACAAATATGTAAACGACATCTATGTAAACGACATTTATGCGACCCGACACATATGTAAACTGAAAAATGCGTTTACATATGTGTCGGGTTACATATTTGTCGGGTAGCATAAATGTCGGTTACATATTTGTCACCATGTCGTCACACCACTGGAGGAGCTCCTACGACTTATGTACATACGCAGTGGCCGCGGAAACGGGAAAATGTCCCCACGGTTATTCCATGTCCACATCATCTTCCCATACACCCCTACCTCCCCTCCCCTACAATGTTAATGTCCCCGATGTCCCCCCAACTTCCGCGGCCACTGTTACATACGCAATGTCAACCGCTTCTTGCAATTTGTGCTTCCTCCAACAAAACCATACGTATGTACTTATCGGTTTCGTATCGTTTTTTTTGGAGAAATTGCGTCCCTGAATGAAACATGTGCAATTTTTCAATCGACCCACCAACAAACTCAAATCCAGATTGATGACATGCTTCTTCCCTTCTTACAAAGTGGAACGATTGTGATTGCGAATTGGTGCAAGAATTTATGTTTGGAAGATTGAGGAGAAAGAGTGAAATGAAGTGGAAAATTTTTTTCATTTACTTCCACCTTTTGTTATCTCCGTCTTTTTCTTCCAAATGTGAAGAGAAGGCCATTCGTCACAAAGTGACGGGTGATGCTTATCACCTGCCGGGACCAATTTTTCTCCCTTTCTCTCTGCCTACGCCACCATTTTCTCTCTTCAATTGGGACGGGATGACAAGTTGGGGGATTAAATGGTGTTGAATCAGTTAAGCTGAGGAATGATTACGACTTTTATCGAGAATTAGGACTATCTCGTGATGTTGAAGTATTGCGGGGAACCAATCGAGATTTTCTGTTATTTTATAGGAGAGAAAGTAGGTTTTTTTATAAAAATATCTGCGTTTTTTGTTCACCTTTCACCTCGATTTTCATGTACTGGTGGTGGAAAAGGAAGATAAAATTGTAACCGGAAACGATGGGAAGTGTCTGAGAGAGAAATGTTGCAAAGCAATGGAATCTTCCGCCTGACCGAAGCTTGCGTCTGATTTTTTCTGATTCTAAACGGGATTTATGTTATGTTATAGCCAACGGTTAGTTGAGCCTGTTTTGTTACTGGATATTGTTCAAGAGGGTGAGCGAGCAAGTGTTTGGAGGCATGTCTGTCGGACAATATCTTGGAGAAGGGGAAAAACACTTTGGAGAGTTTCTCACTTCGAGTGAAAGTTATTCATTGTGCTGAATATACCTGCATCCGGTCGGTCGGCGTGGGTCTGGTCGGTGATCCTGATTTGATCTTTGATTGTGTTGGGATTTGAGATTCAACGAGATCACGGGCTCGTTCAAAGGATTGAATCAGCATTGGAATCTATACAGGGTCGAAATAAATTGGTGTAAACAAGTACGCTCCACCAGAGAAAATGGTGGAAAATCGTTACCGCAAGCTTTTATTTTAGCTGTGAATCGTGTTCTTGGTGTATTTTTTGTAGTGTTATTATTGGACGGATTTTCATCTCACCATTAATTACGATAATTTTCAGGGAACTATAGCTGTCTGAAAGTGAAGCTCATCTTCAACCGTGACAGAGGTTCGGCTTTCACCCTTTTATTTTATGATGATTTCATAGTTTATCTAATATTAATGCTGATTTTTGTATTGATGACTAGCCTATTACTTCACGACCGTTTTTATTCCTGACATCATCTTGGTGACATCCAGCTTCATCACATTCTGGTTGGAATGGAATGCTGTACCAGCCAGAATCATGCTCGGCGTCACCACCATGCTCAATTTCTTCACGACTAGGTAAGAACTTATTTAGATTTGTATTGCAGATATGTAGAGACTGGATTTTAAGGCTTGGATTTATAATTTCAGCAACGGATTTCGTGCCACTCTTCCTGTCGTGTCCAATCTAACAGCGATGAACATATGGGACGGTGTGTAAAGTTTACGTACTTTTGTAGCTTACTATTTTATTGGGGTGATAGATTAAGGGTGGATCGGTCCAGGGGTTATGGGGGCTATTTAGTAGCAAAATTTTACGGCTTTGCACCTTAAATTTTGCAAGGCAGCTCAGCCCGAGCAAAAATTTGAACTGGCTTCCTGCAGAAATTGTGGCTAAATTTAGCTAAAATTTATACAGAGGGATTTGTGCAGGAACTATGCAGAATTTTGGTTTTTCGTATTTAATCTGCATATCGACTAAACAATACCTCATGCTCATACAGGTAGTGATTCACGCAATAATCAAATGTAATAACTGTCCTACAGGTGGATCTATGCTGTTCATCTACCTTTCGCTTTTGGAATTTGTGTTTGTTAACTACATTGGGAGAAAGAGGCCAAGGCCACCGTCAGATTTTGCAGACCAACCCACAATCCAGGTAACAAACATTATTTCTTCAACTACTACAATTTTCAACTATTTATACAAGTCACTTTACCAATTAATTTAACTAATTGTGCAACTTGAGCAATCACAGATTTTCATTAATGTTTTTGAAATTTTAATAACCTTGAACTTTCTCCAACTTTCACTTTTACAACTAATGAATTTTTATACGAATTTTATACGAGAATAAAGCAAATATTTTCATCGCTCTTGAACTTGTGATGATGACCTTCGTGTTCCCTCCAATGTTCTTCTTACAGCTGAATAAAATAGAAGATAATGCTGCAACGACGCCATCTGGCAATCGACCAATTGATATGGTCACCTGCACCACTTGCTCGACAAGCAACACGCCTTGCACCCATCCCGCTAACAATGGCTGTGCTCCTCCTCGAGTAATTCATTCCTTTGCAATAATTATGCTTTTAACGTAATATTTATTTAATACAAATTCTTAATTTAATTTCAATTTTTTATTCAATCCCAGTTTCACAATAACGTATTTATTCAGAAAACAGTTTTCTTCTTAAATTAACTAATCTATGTATGTTCAAAAGGTGGAAAATACTAAAAAATATTTCGATTGCAAGTGTTACTATTTGAAATTTAAGCTAAAATTTTCTAAATTATTTAATGCAACTTTCACATCACTTCAACACGTTAATTTCATTATTTAATTTCAATAGTTCTTACAAATTTGTTGTACCAAACTCATGTTTTTTCCGCTTATGACAGTTTCGTCGCCGGATATTGTCATCCCCGATACATCTCGCTAAGAGGATAGACGTCATCAGCAGGTATACATCAAATAGTTAGAAATTTAGTTACACCTTAGAGTATCTAATAATATACCTTATAAAGAGTAGAAAAACTCTTCCTATGAACAATTCTATTGTTTCGATCCAGACAAAAATAAGGGAACAATAATTTTATTTAATAGCAGTCTCAAAAAAATCATGCAAATATTTAGATTTCAGATGAAATGCCCTAAAAATATAAATTTTCACACATTTTCAGTAACTATTTTTATCTCAAAAATGAGGAGAAAGTGATTTTTTAAACTGGCAGTATACATTAGTTGTTATACAAAAATTATTGTACCCTTATTTTAGTCTATATCAATGCAAAAGAGTCGTTGATTTTCAAAATTTCCAATGGGCCTTTCCGCTCTAGTTATTATTATTATATCATATAAGAATTACACTATACATACATACAAATTAATATGTAATAATAATATGTATGTCACAATCAGGGTGGTCTTCCCCGCAGCGTATTCCTGTTTCCTGATCTATTTCTTTCTCGCCCATCGAGCCTTCATAGGCCACTCAATTCGTGAAAGTGATTAAGAATGACGTGGATGTGACCAACGAAACCAACCAATCAACCAACTTTCTCTCGCTGATGGCTAAATTAACGGATGCGGAAGTGATGAGTCTCCAGCCCAGCATATTAATAAAGCAGACCAGACTTGAAACTATGTGCATCTAGAAGATAACAAAAAGTCGTTGGGATTCCTATGATACGACGCATGTGACAAGTTTCGAGGTATTTTGCATACTTGATTCACACCTCGTTGTCTTAAATAATTCGAAAAAGTTTGCATCAAGTTTGTGGAAAGAGTTAAATATTATGCATTTTTGCACATATACATTTTCGGAAATTATCACACTTTAATTACCTTTGGACAGATTACATAGTAAAATTGTGCACTTTACCCGTTGCCTTGTGTCATTTCACGAAATATTCAACTTTTTCCACAATTCTACGTAGATGAAATCTATACAGAAATTAATGGGCCCAAAATTTCAAGTTTTACTTAGAACACCATATTATAAAACATGTGATTTACAGAATTACTTATCGCAGATTTCAAAACTAAACTCATTCTCAACTTTTATCAAGATATGTATGGTGCTTCATACATGCTGTAGCATAAGTCGTAAATTTATAACCTGTCCCAAACTGATAAACAACCCAAGAAAAGCATACGTGATTCTAGAGACAAATTTAGAACGTTAATAAAATCGGTACGTACGTATGTAGTAAGTAGTTTAATACGGATACCTTTAGGTGCATAGGTATGGATTATTGGACGAATTGAGGGCCATGCAGGCAGGCAGGAGCTGGTGTAATAAAATACGGTAAATCTCCATCTAATTCTACCCGAGAAAGTCAAGCAGACTGGCAAAAAGAGAAAATAAATAAAATAAATCAAAACTTGTTGGATTGCTGAATTGTCAAAAAAGTCGATACGATGAAACCTAACGCAGCCGATGAGTCGTAAATGAAATATTATTAAACTTTATCATACTCACAAAAATATAGGAAATCCTTAAAAAGTTATCCCGATAAATCTCATAATACATCATCATTTTTTAGATGATCATACATAATTATGTATCACGGGGTATGTAAAATTTACAAAAAATGCTCTCTTCCGTTCTTAAGGAATTCTTTATAAATAACATAACAAATCTCAAGTAAATAATATGTATACCTTTATTTGAGTCATACATAAGTACATGATATGAATGCGTATGTAATAAAAAGTAGGGTAAAAAAAGTCGATTGATTTTTAGTTCGTAGAAAAAAGATGGAATGTGCACAACATCCATATTGAAAGACAACAAAAGTGAATAATTGAACATAAATACAAACAAATAATATTTACCAAGTAAATAATTAAGTAAATATTCTAGAATATATCCATTTATGTAAAGTATGTAAAGGAAAATATCAATCATTCCGAAATAATAAAATGATTACACCCAAACTTTATTATTCATGAAGACTTTATTCTCATCCCGTCCAAATTTCATCTTTTACTCGTGTAACCACATGAATACTTATGCTGTGTCGCTGGCAAGATTACGTGAAAGTTACGAACAAAAATATACATACTAAATTGTGGTATTAACCAACACTTTTGCCCACCTGGTTCCATCGGAGCTTATAAATTTACCAGATAAAATTAACCCCTGCTTCGGATCGGATCTTGTCATGCGTCACCTGTCAGGTCACATTACGAGACATTCATTTGTCAACTAGATTGACGTGTCAGGATTTTAACAAGGAATAACTTGAGACTCGAGTAAAATAACCATGATATTAGATTTTTTCCCTCTTGCCAAAGTTGTAATAAGCATGAAAAAGAGATCGCGAAAAAAAATCTGCGATACATAATTACCGAAATCTGGAGCATCAAACGAGACAATTAATTACATACATTCCAGTCGTTGAACTTTCACTCACCACACATCATAAATTACATTCATGAGCACGAGCGGACGTGGACGCGGACTCGGAAACGTCCCTTCTATTTTTATCCATCTGCAAAATCTATCCATTAACTGGTGTCACGTATTGATAAACACGTAAAAAAAAGTATTATCACAATCACAAAATAAATCCGAGCAGGTCTTCATCTTCACGAGAACATGAATCTTGTTGTCCAATGTGACCCTCTGAGAATCCTCTCGCTCATCATCACCCACACTCGTCGCCCCCTCCTCCCCGGCTTATCCAACTTATCGAGGCAAAAAATTGGAATTGGATATCGATTTAGATAAGCTCCCTCTTGTCTTCCGGCTTGAAATGAGGACAGATTTGCTGTACGTGACCGGATTCAAGGATACGAATATTGCTCGGATGACAGGCGGGCGTGCTTTGTGGACAGACGGCTTTATTGGGCTTTCCAATTTTCTTGGTCAATATCGGCCAACCAAAAATACATATGTACTTATTCACTCACGTATGAATATGTACGTACATTCGTAGAAAAAAAATACTTTCATAATTTTAGAGACACAAATTATCCGATTTTTGTCCTGACATAAATCCATTTTCCAATTTACATGTCATCAAAGTCAAGCCAATCTGCCCATTATGCAAGAATGATCGCATATCTAGCCAGCCACACATGCAAAGGGCGTGATTGTAAATTACAGCTTAATGTCAACACGATAATGTTATTTTTCTGTGGATTTGATGGCCCATAAATGACGCTCATTACTCTGATGTTAGTCGAAAATGAAAGGCAAGGTTAGCCCAAAATGGTGTTCCAGTTCTACATTTAGATTTAGACAGTTGGATATTTTTATCTTGATGTCTTGCACATTGGAGTTTGGGATTGCTGTTTTTCACCCACAACTAGTGAAGGGTTTCAAGAAGAAAACATTTTAACCTTGCTGCAATAACGTCTCGCAAATTTTGTGGGATGAATTTGCACCAGAAATCTGCACAGGATATGAGATTTACGATATGTTCGAGGACGACGATATATATGCGTGTTATTAGTTGATCTTGACTGACTAGTTGCCTGCTGCCACCCAGCAAGCACCCACGACGACGATCTTGATGAAAATCTGGCTCAAATTACTTTTCACGACTTAAAAATATTTAAAATAGCACGCTGGGAATTCACTAATCTCGAGATATTCATACATAAATACATCCACATCTTTTATTTGCTGCTGCTTCTGCTCCACACATTTTCCGGTCCTGTCAACTCACGACAAATGTAATAGATTACCCTTCAACTTTACTGAAAAAAACTTCCGCTTTGGATCTAACGGCGAAATAAATTTATTGTGGACATAATCTCAAAACTGGGTCTTTCCGAGTGGTGTAGTTTGTTGTAAGGCTGCTTATCTGATCGGATATCTATCACTCTTTTGGTACGAAGGAGCTTGATTTACGTAGGATTAAAGCTTTACTTTCTCAGTTCAGTAGCTGGATTCATAACGTGTGGAGATCAAGTTCTCCTGATCTGCATCTTCATTTTAATCCAATTTCTCATAAATAGCGTAATGGCAGAAGCAAGGAGTATTAAGGTTGAAGGAACCGGACTTCGAAATGGGGTCGCTGGTAAGTTATTTATTTCATTTTTTGTCCCATCCTTCCCATTTATTTTGGAGATTTGTCGTCCGATTTGAACATTAATGTCAGGACCAAAAGGCAGGAAAGGAGTTTTCATCATTTTATAAATTCATGACAAATCTCCTCAAAATGATGCGAAATTATGTACACATGACTTTCTTCGATGCCTTTCTCCTCCTCTTGTTCACATCTTGAATCAAATTTTGATTTTGTATTCATCCCTCGAAGTTGTATATTCCATAACCACTACGACGGCCACCACCACCATTATTATCAGAGGGCGGATATGTATTTACGAAGAATTGTTGAAATATGTAGTTAATATTTATGAAATATGTGCCAAAAAACCATAAAAATTTAAACGTTTCGTAAAATTTGTGTTTATGAGTATAATGCTCTGTAATTTTTATGGTTGAATTTCTTAGAGCAAAAATGATTCATCTCGTATCATTGAAATATTTACAAAATATATGAATTTAAAAAAAAGATCTGAAATATTTACGTATTTTTCAACAAAAATGGGAATTATTTGTAAATATATGTTTAAAATCAAGAAATATGTAATAATATATGGAAATATTTTGAAATTTTTGTGATCTATGCGAGTTAGGGAACACACCCACAAAGTTTGACTGTCGATCGTTATCAAATGAAAAAGTTGAAAATACATACATATCCGCCCTCTGATTATTATCCATGTTATTTCTGTACCTATACATTCATGTACACCTTCACTTCACTATTCCAGAGGGTCCAAATAAGTTTGTAATCTACGCGTCTGAAAAGCACGACGTGAGCAAAATCCAGATCGGATTCGATGGTCCGGGTCAACCAGAGTGTCGCCTCAACACGAAGAAGGACAAGAGCATCGACGTGACCTATACGTCCCCGGTGGCGGGAGAATATAAGATTCATGTCCGTTACGACGACAAGCCCATCCCGGGGTCACCCTTCAAATGCAAGATTATCGGGGATGTGAAAGGTGCCGTGGACAAGGTGAAAGCCTCGGGGGACACGAAGGAGGGGAAAGTCAATGTCAACAATACGATCTTGGTGGACGGGCGAGAAGTCGGAATTCTTGGTAGGTCGTCCCCGTATGTGGTCTATGTCAATACTTTCACTCAAATTATTTAAAAAAGGCGAGATTGGGAGGCTTGATGTATTTTTACTTCTTATTTTCATGGGGATTTAAAAGGCGGCCTCTCCGGAAGTACAGAGGGGCCCTCAAAGCCCGACTTCCAATTCAAACAAAATGATGACGGGACGGTGGCTGCGGTGTATAAGCCAACGGTGGCAGGAAATTATAAGATCACTTTGAAATTTCAGCACTACAACATCCCTGGTAAGTAATAGTAACAAAATAAACAGTAAATACACATCATTACACGATGCCGTACTAACAATGGAGGTCTTCCAGCATATGCTCTCAGATTTTTGACAAAACTAGTGTCAGCCGATCACAAGTTTAATTAATACAAAATGTGCAAAAGGAATTAACTCCCAATGCTCATTTTCTCAGAGATATTTGCATCCGAAGACGAAAAAATACAGAATAAATTTAGAAAGTGTAAAATTTGTCAACTTTAAGGAGTGCTTTCTCCTCTTGGGTTGGCAAATATCTTCGCCAAATCTGAGCATTGGCAGATGTGTCATTTGTAAATTTAATATTAATTAAATTTGTGATCAATTGACACTAATTTGGTCAAAATCCGTGACCATACGCTGGGAGACCTCCATTGGGAGAAAGTTCAGACTTGACACATTTATATTACAGGGAGCCCTTTCACCGTATCAGTGAAGTGAGCTGGGAATGACTGATCCATGATGCGTGTACCTAAACCACTAACAAAGACTTTTATACAATATGGTATTAATTATATTCGTGACCAATAATATGTAACACAATTAAAAACAGCGGTTTAAATTTCGCTTACAGAATTAATGATGTGATATGTTGTATGGAATTGTAATTGAATAAATTGGGAAAATAAAGTATATAAATTTTGATGAGAATTGAGTGAAAGTTGATAAAAATACGTCCGGGAAACACCTTTCTCCATAGTACGAGCTGGTCATGACACTTTTCATGAACATTTACTTATCAGCTATTTATTAACCGCATATTGTTTAAACTTTTCGTAGGATCCAACCAAACGTCTGCTTTACTAGAAGTCGGATAGCTGTGCAAAGTTGATAGAACTTTCTACCTCGAATTTAAGACGTGCCACACCAAACTTTCAAATCTTTGTTTTTGATACTTACGCAGATGTCTTGTTTTCGATTCTGTGTTTTCTTTACCCTCAGATGTTTACCTGCCAAAATTGGGACAAAGGCAGCTTATGAAGTGACAGAAAATCATATTTTCATATTATAATAGAGTTTGCATACTATTGTTCATATGTACATATTGCGTATAGTTTTACTCGTCGTAGAAGGATCAGGTCAGCTTGAAACATTAGTGGTGAAGATGAGATATAAATGTAGTACATATGAGCACAAATATGACAAAAAACCATGCGATTTATTATGACACCTCGGATTTTCCAGACAAAAATTCGTATCCATTGCTCCCATGTTATTCAGCGGAATCATGGTTAACTGTGGAATCATGGAAAATAAAATGTTGCGCAAGGAATAAATTGTGTCAGACTTTATTTACTTTCTAAATACACAACACGTCTATTTGTATACTCTAAATAAAGTTGTGTAAATTTACTCAAGGTTGAATAAAAAAAGAGGATGACACAACAATTGGGTAAAATAAATCCAACGGTTGGATAAAATCTTATTTGTAAGCATTTGTCCTGATAAAAAACCATGATTTTATACTACGAGACATATTTAGTACGAAATTTTTGCCAGCAGTACACTTGACTAGAATAGTTATTATCCGATATGTGTATTTATTTGTATGCCAAATTTATATGCAAAATTGTATGCAAACTTTATTTATAAAAATTATATGCAAAAATTGCGTGTCATATTAATCGTACATATTAATAAGCTGTACCTAAACATGCAAATAGATCATATGTATGAAATGGTGCAGGCTCATTAAAAATGACAAATTATTACACGGATACACAAATTCTAAGACGTAATATTTTTGCAATTTTCAAACTTTTATTTAAAAATTTAACATCAACATTTTTATAAATTAAACGAACTTGAACTGAATTTTCATACATGGTTTAGGCAAAATTATTAAAAAGTGTGGGCTCTGATCATCCGTCATCAACGGTCGTCGTACTCTTCATTGGAATAATAATAAGACCCATCGAATCTGAAAGGACACATTATTCCCAACGTTAACATTACAGGATTTCAAACCGACTTTGGAGGTTAGTTCGTGTATTGGATGACTCACTGGAAAATAAATAAATTCCTATATTATTCACCTACAAGGGTCCTAGGTCACTTTACATAATATACCTTTGCATAACTGCCATATTGCATAAATATTATTGCATAAAAGTAATTTTACATAACAAGCCAATTATGCAAAATGACAGTTATGCAGCATTAATTATGCAAAGTGGCCGAAGACCCCTACAATTAACAACTCACATGAGTTAGTAGGGTCCTCAGCAGTATTTTATTTTTAGCCTAAGTAATCATCTAAGCATCTACTCGTGATTCGATGAATATCGCTCATGAAACCTGGACAAGGTAACATAAAAAAAGACAAATATCGGCATTGTATTTCCCAGCTAAAAATAAAATAAAATAAAATAATTGAGTGAATAGGAAAAGTACACACGAAAGACAATCGGGGAGTTAATATTTTGTAGCAAAACACTTTTTATTGACTAGAATTATGTATTCAGAAGATTTGACTAATTAATTTGAGACAAAAACTTGTGTTACAAATAAATAAATTATGTATGCTAAATACACATATTTAGAATTCGTAAATCTGGAGAACAAACATTCCGTTGATAAGTACTTATCTACTCATTTTCTTTAATTATGTACCTGCTTACACAAGTATTGTATGGTGTATTAGCTCGTGACTCTAAATATGTATGCACCTCGTTGCATTTATTTATGGAGAAAAAACCTTGCTGCTTAGATATTTTCAAGTAAATTTTTAAAATCAATTTCTAGTTTGTTAATTAATGGCAGAGTTAATGGTTGTTAATTAGGTAAGTAAGTATATCTTTACACAAGTATTGGCTGCCTATTGCATATCACAATTGTCTTTCGATTTCCTAATTCAAAGAAATTAGGAAGGTTATACAATTACCACTAGTATTTTTGATATACTTCAAAATATAATTAGCATATAAGTAGTAAGTTGATGATATTACACATTTATTAGAGTGAGGTTAATTGTGTACGTAAGTTTGAGTAGTTAATTAATTATGTGTGATCTATTTGGTAATGATATGTATTTTTGTATATATTTACTTCTTAGAATGGTAAATATGTAGGTGTGACGAGATAGTTTTTTTTCTGGATTAAGATTGATATTGCTTCTCTTATACTACAATTCTGTTCTGTTTGTTATACATGAATAAATTTACATTGAACTAGTATTATTAGATTTTTAGATTAGAAATGTCAGGCAAAATTAGTTCCCTTCTTTAGTTATTGATCGAAATGCGCTTCATCTTCAAATATTCACTTGCTATACGCAGCTACATATATTAGAATTATGTATGTAAGGGATATTTTTGTGATGTGACCTTTTTCGTGAGTTACTTTATGTACATGACATTATTACTTTAGTACAATTGACAATTAAGTAGGTTATATTTTCTACATTTTTTTCATGAGTAGATTTAAAAGTTTTTAGATATTTATATACAGGGTGGTCAAAAAAGGACTTTACCTGGAGAAACTTTTCCAGAAACTTTTGTGTGATTTCCATTAGCATAAAATCACAATGTAAAATTTAACATTTTCCAAAAATTTCTGAAAATGATATATATTAAAATGTTCTAAAATTACTTTAATTGTTGTAATTTTACATTAATAGAAATCGCAGCAAAGTTGCTGGAAAAATTGCTCCAGGCAAAGTTCTTTTTGGACCATACTGTACATGTAAGATCATAAATTACAGTGATCGTATAATTGTAATGGTTGCAAACTGGTCTAAAACGCTAAAATTTACACGTACATATGTAATAATTAGTACAGATTATTATACACGCAGTAATAAGTAGTTTCAACACAATGGTGAAAGTTAAAATGTAAGTAACGTTACGAAAATAAAATATTTATGGAATGCTTATTTTTTGTGACACACACTTGTATCGCATCCACATAGATAATTGTAAGCTGTGTAAATCAACGCATCGCAAATTCCACTCCGCAGGTGTCATGGGCTCGAAGGAAAGTTGTTAATTGTTAGTCCAAACCAAACAAATTTGTTAGGAGACACAGTGAGCCAATTTGTAAGTGGGTGGGTGTGGTGGATGTCGACAAAATAGAAATCTCATTCGAACGCCTTATGTTTCACGAAGAAGAAGATGAGGAACGCTTTAAAAAATCAAAAAAACATTACATTAACATTACGAATTTGTATGAAATTTTATGAATTTTCATTGTTTCTATTACCCGCATAAGCTATTGGAAACACGACCCTGTAATAACGTAATTAGAGTTTATAGTGTAATAAGTAATTACAATGCTAATTATTATTATGTAACAATTACCTGCTAATGACATCCACCGTTTTCGCTACACGAATAGGATTTTCGATAATTCTTCTCCGCAACTGTAACCAAAATAGAATAATTGCACCAAATTTTACACAAAATGTCATAACACACTGTTTTAATAGGGTCTCATTATTGGGGACGGGAGGTCGTCGAGTCAAACCCTGCTGCTCAAAAAATCGCTACAAAGTCATGCATTCGAATTATCTATGTAAATAGGAAACAGTTTGGTTTACAGATTTAGTTGACTAAAAAACACGGTAAGGATTTTAATTTTACTGGGGTCGATTAATTAATGGATGGTTTTTGTATTTAGAGTGATAAAAAGTAAGCTCTAACGAGATTCACGGTGGGTATGGTCCATCCAATGCCGATCCCGATGCCTCCGATGGACGCGGCGTGGCTAGGCGAGGGGCTGAAGGTTGTGCAGATGTCGCCCTGATTATTTTCCGTGCCGCCCGAGCCTCCCATTCCCGACGGCGACCCTGCCACGCCCCTTTGCTCCACCTTGTTCAACTGCAACATTGAAATCTTCCATTCCAATTCCATCCACCAAAAATGAGATTTTTCAACAAGTTGATAAAGTCATGCCAAGAAGCGAAAATTTATCCATTTTAGCCACGAAATAATGTAAATTCCAGTCCACATGCAAAAATATTTTGAAAACAAAGAAATTCGCGTTAAGTAAGGAAGAAGCATTACTTGTTAGTAACAATTATATGGTTAAATATGCAGTAAATGCATTCGGATTGCATACGTATTAAGGTAATTTTTTAATGACTTGTTTTAATGACGAGTTAATTAATTTACGGTTAATTTGGTAGTATTTTCAACAAAAAACGGAAATATTTATAAGTGTCCATGCAAATAATTACCTGAGCTGACGAATGTGGATCGGGAGGCTCAGGGTAAGCTCTTCTTGGCCTCTTCCTTCCGATATAATTAACAATAACGAACTCTAGGAGGCTCCTAAAATAGAAAAACGTAAATTAGAGAAATAAATTCTAGTCGCTACAAAACATTTTAAGATGAGAGGCACTTGCGCATATATAAAAAACATGCTAAATCCATCCCATATATTCATCGCCGTTAGATTGGACACGACAGGAAGAGTCGATCTAAATGTATTGCTGGAAATACAAAGTTTAATCGTAATTAAGTAATGACAAGCTTTTTCATCTCAAGTGCAATATATGTAAATTAATCTAATTATTTAAGCTCTTACCTAGTCGTGAAGAAATTGAGCATGGTGGTGACGCCAAGCATGATTCTGGCGGGCACGGCATTCCATTCCAACCAGAATGTGATGAAGCTGGATGTCACCAAGATGATGTCAGGAATAAAAACGGTCGTGAAGTAATAGGCTAGTCGTCAATAAAAAATAAAAAATTACTTACTGTTAGCATGTATTGAACTATGATTTAATCATTATAAAAATAAAAGAGAAAAATCAAACCTCGGTCCCGGTTGAAAGTAAGTTGAACCCCGAGACAACTATAGTTTCCTAAATTGGGATTACAGAAATACACGTTTAAAGTCATCACATTAGGTACACAGAGGTCCCACACTAATAGAATCTGTTGACGTAGAGTGACATACGAGGCGATAATGGAACCAAATTTGTGGTTTGTGCATAATATTAGATTCCTTTGTCATCATTAAGCAATGCACCGAAGAGTTTATACAACGCATTAATTACTGAAATCTAATTAGGGCCGAGGAATGTATGGAGATGGAGCGGAAAATGTCTTAATTAACCACAAACCTTACACGACTTTCTCTTTGCTTTCTCTCTGTTCATTTATTATGTAAAATCGCCTACGTGTGTGTCCGTACGTACGAATGTCGTCGTTTGCTACGCCTGGTGTGATAAACTTTCTCCGAATGTCGCCACTTTCACCACCACCACTCACGACAACGTTTATTTTACGAGCCATTAATCTGCACATCTACCTTGCGGCTGTCGTAGAAATAGCATAAACTGGTTTGAACTAGACTCCTGGTAAATCACGGGCCGTAATTTACGACTATCATGGCTGGTGGGCTTCATTTGTCGCGCAAATGTAACTTTTAGCGCAGGAAGCTTCCAATAAATCTATGATGTGAGGTAACGTGTCGGGTTTCGAAGCAAAAAAATATGGATACATATCAAAAACCGATTTTCGCTAAATTGGCAATTTTGCGAAATACCAATCTCTTATCTTATCCCGTCCAAATCTCAGTCTCACCTTGATTTTATATCCAGGAATCAAATGAATTGGTTCTTTTTAGAGACAAATATTTGATTGCTACGTTAATCCAGATATAAATCAGGTTTCACTTGAGCTTATCATCTCGTTGATCTATAGGAAAATCTTTACCATCTCTTTTTTACAACTTTCTTTTTGTCAGTCGTACAATAAATTAGACATAAAGAATTTATCTGACTTAATATCAGCAATAAAAGGAGGCCAACTTTCTCCAAGGTCAATTATTAAGTTTTCTGCAGAATTTACCTACCTAGATAAGTGAACTACTCTGCCACCATGTTTTTGGCCGGATTTTGCACAATAAAGCAAAAGGTGCCGAAGAACTTATGTAACCAGCAGGTGAACACTTTTCTCCAGGTTGACTCCCCATTTCCTGCTTTCACCCACTTTTTTCCCGTTTGAACCAGTTTCTTTCTCTCACACTTTCATTCCATTCATTGAATAGAGCAAAAGTCAGGAGGTTGAAGGCAATATAATTTATTTGGAACGAGTCAAACAGATTTATTACTGTTTGGAGGTTTTACAGTCAACGTGTGGTATCGATTCTCTGGAAGATAATCTACTCTAAAATTTAAAGCTTTTCGTGCCCTAAAAAATTGGGCTGTTGTGCAACAGTAACTATTCTTCAGTAATGATAACCTCGTTTTTTTCAATGTGTATTTAACTCGTTTTTTTCCTCCTCTGCGTAGTTTATTTAATCCCAAGGAACCTCGCCCCACCATCGTTTCGTTACATCACTCTCTCGTTTCTTTTTATGTAGCAAGGCCGAAAATTTTTTTTTGCCTGCTCTTTTTTCTTCTTCATAATTTATGGAACAATTTATTTTTATCGCTGTTATTCATAAATATAAAAAACTTGGAGCATTATTTTAGCTTTTATTGGGAAAGTTATTATTATTTCGTACATATTATGACCACGTAACGACTCTGAACTCAACTCACCCCGCCAATGTGAGCTATTACAATATGTCGTCTCATTCTTTGCCAAGTAGGCGTTGAGAAAGGATAAGTTTGGTGATTTCCTTAAAATCCCTGTGTCCGTGTGCCACTTGAACTGAAATGGAAATAATAATTATGGTAAATTTATGTCGTAGAAAGTAGATATTTACTTAATGTTTAGTTAACCTCGAGTGCGTCCCGTTCGTTGGAAACTGCAATAAAAATAAGAGACGAAATAGAGGTTGAGAGGAAAAATAAGAAGAATCTCATAAATAATCTGTGGTTGGTTTTGTTGTCGAATGGATAAAAGGTGGAAATGGCGAGCGTTAAGAGTGGAAGAAATTCCAGCAGGTTTGTTGCGCATTAAAAACTTCGCAGCCATAAAACCAACTTGAAAGAAAGATGTCCATGTTCTATGATCTGTATCTATTTTTTGGCAACGCACAAAGAGAAAATTGTTGGCGACTTGATAAATAGATTCAGTTTGGCGAAATATACATGAGAAATGTACATGACAATTGAAAGAATAGGAGTTTTTGCAGAGTTGGCAGTAGGTTTTAAGTACTTTTCTCAAAATTATTATGAAACTTTATGTGAATACGTGAATTGCGAGATTTTTTACTGATTCGAAAAAGTAAGGTCAAGTAGTGAAGAAGTTTGATTTACTTGACTCAATCTGAAATAGAAAAGGAAAAACATTTTTTTATTAATACATATTTTTTATTACTAATTTAAAATGGATAAAATCAAGGAATGGAGGATGAAAGATGAGGTGAAATATAAAGATCACTTAAATTCCATGAACATTGAGGATCGTCAAACGGAAATATTCCCAGCTCCCCTTGACACGAGAGTATTAAGTGGCGTCTGAATTATATTGAAAACAGTTAAGAGTTAAAATTTTTAAAGTTAAATCCTGACCTTAAATCAATTATGAATTTAAAACTGAAATAACCTTGTAGTGAAAGCAACTGTGCCATTGGGGTGCAAGCGGAGGGCAATATGATTCGGGTCCAAATTCACTGCGACAGAACGAGAGCATTTTTAAATTGGTTTATAATTAAACACATTTTAATTTTAAATTGAATCCGCCACCCACTTCTGAAATCGCCATGTTTGACAAAGTACACATCCGGAATCCACACTTTTGGAAAATGGTGGAGGGCGTCGAGGTAATCTCTTCTTCGTGGATTAGCTCTCATCGGAATAGCTTCGTAGCTGTCCGCAGAGTAGGTCAGGTTCACAGAGGTTGTATTCGTAATATTGTATTTCAACCGGCTATCAACCCAAACCATGTTCATAAGGAATTCCACTTCGTATTTCTGCACGTTTCGAAGCGAAAAATAATTTAGATCAATTATATGCATTAATAATTGTGTTAATTTTTGTAAATATCTATACTGACCAAGCTGCTTTCATCCGGAGATGCGAGTGTTAACAGTAACACACTGACATTTACGTCCAATGGGACTGCAAGTTTTTTAAAAAAAGGCAATTTTCGAATTGCATATTTATAATACGATGGCACCAGCGGTTTCGCTCCTATTTTGATGAAACCACACGAATTACATATGTAGCTTTACATAAGTAAACATGTTTGAGAATTTTTCATAATGCTCAGTTTAAACGAAATTATGATTATTCCATCTAGAGCTAGAAAAATCCAAATTCTCTCTTACGGATTTCATCATAATTTCGTTTAAACTGAGCATTATGAAAAATCCTTAAACGTTATTTAAGGCTACATAATTAGCGTGGTTTCACCAAAATCGTAGCGAGACCGGTGGCGTCATCGCATATTTAGATCAGGTGAAAGCATGGTGAAAGTATAATCAATCTTGTACCCAAACTTGGCGGCATACTTCTCCTGTCATATCTACTATTCGTTATGAGTAAGTCTAGAGCCGCTTTCTCGCTCAAATCCATACTTATGCTGAAATTACACATATCAAATTACTCATAAAAACTCTGCCACCTTTTTCAATTTCTACTAATTTCTACAATGTTTTTCATACTTTAGTGGTGCAAATACTGGCTGTCCAATCTGAACTTTTTGATAAACTAGTTCCATCGGTTCGGGGAGTGGGGGCGACGGGGTTGAAGAAGTCGACATGTCCTCATAGTCCTCCATCATGCTGCTGCTCTGTTTGTCCATATCTTTGCCATGATCTGGACCACTCTTCTTGTGGTGGGCGTGGTGGATGGTGGTGGCCTCCACGCGACCCAGCGTTGGGAACAAGGCACACGAAGCGATCAACAAGGGGAGGATGCAGGACGTGGTGGGGAGCAACATTATTCTAATTTGTAGCACGAGGACTGCTGCTGTAATACTTGTTCAAAAAGTCACTTAATATTTTTATAGTTTTTTCGCCAAGTGGCACTTTATTTATTTCGCCACGACCAAAAAAACGTCTGCACTTTGCACTTTTCTTCTTCTTCTTTGCTATCTCAGAAATCTCAATTCCACCCCGGAATATTTCGTGTAGTCACTTTTCTTCTCAAGTCCGGAAATGAGTTTGGTGGTGGTGAATGGTGTAATCCTTCTCGACTTTCGCCATGTTGATGAGCACTGGTGGCGGTCGTTGTGTTGTGTCTGTGTCGTCGTGGGGTGGAGATTATCATAACCAGAAACACTTTCACGCTCGCAACGGCACGGCTCGTTTTTTCTTGTCGGCGTGAAGTTGACGTAGAGAAAAGGTTCAATTTCGAAAGTAAAGTTGGTGCAAGTCCTCACATTTGCGAGGGGAAGGAGCGGCCTTTGAAGGGTGGGAGAAGGGTCGTTTAACTGCATGGCACTTATTTCCGTGCGAAAACGGAGTGAATTGGATCATGTAGAGTTCTTGGGTGTGGTGGTGGTGGTGGTGGCCGTTGGTTGGACTTGTATTTGTCGATTTCCTTCATTTCGGAGTCATTTCTGAAATTGAGAATGGTAAATCAATGGAATGATGAGTTGTAAAAAGGATGTGTATGCTACAAGTTGCAGGAATTTAGTTTTTTGTGTATAAAGCCTACAATGCAGATGTATTTAGCCCGAGTCATGTTGCTAATAATTGAGGTATGGGTACGGCCACTACAACTTTTCCAAATATTTTGCTCATGATTCAATCTTTGCACTTAATTCCTAATTTTGCATATTCTACGTCTGTGCAAAATTTCAAGTCGATTGGATAAATTTTACTACCGTAATCAGACAAACAGACAAACAGACAACCGTGACGGATACATAAGCCCTGACCTTGACCCTGGCTAAAAGTGATTTTTAAGCTAAACAACCCTCTAATTTTTAACTTGAATCGCTCAAGCAATAGGTCAGCATGATTGTTTCAATTTACAAAGAATCCATCAACCTCTTTCTTTATTAACGTCACTCTATGCAGTCATCCCTCCAAAACTCATAAGAACAAGTTGAAATTTATGCTCCTCCTCAACCTTCTCGTGCATTCTTTAAGATTACATTGTGCAATTTCACGTTCAGCAGAAATGGACGGGGACGACGAGGAAGCCGCTGCTTTCTCTTCTACTTGACTCCACTCTACTTCACTTAGGCCACCATAAAAATTTTATGAAGGTGGATCAAACAAGATTTCTTTTGGACAGAAAAAAGAGTAGCATTCTTCCCTCGGACGCTGTGACATACTTTCTTCACTGCCAGCCACAATTCTCAAATGTATGAATGCAGATATTACGATGTTATGTTATCATACCAGAAGTTTCCTTTTGTGTCGGCTGTCTCTCTTTTTTTGCCAGACGGTGACTGCATTCCAAGCATTGTGACAGTAAATGCAAGCAACAAGCGTATAAAGGAAAATGTTACTACGTACATACAACCTTCGACCAGAGAGTTGAATAAATGTGGAAAAAAATCCCTTGAAAATAAATTATTCATGATTTGTTCACAGTTTATCTGGACACGAGGTATGCATGCAGCATAGATTTATGACTTTATATTTGTGACCTCATCAATAATTGAGTAACAAGATAACTTTATTTGCGTAATAAAAATATCTATATTTAACATTTTCAATTAGCGATAAGATGATAATTGAATCGATTTGCCATGTAAAATTTAACCGTGATGTAAGCAAAATTGGCCTTTATAAGGAAGCTCGTCATACTTCATTTGATCTGTCAGAGTTGTACTGAAACTAAAAATGGAGTTTTCCACCGTACTCGTGGCTGTGCTCTGCGTTTTGGTCGGTGCTAACGGAGCACCCCAAATTAAACGGCAACCCAGGCTTGAGTTTCCAAATGTTACATTTGTCAGCGCCTTGGATAACAAGGTGAGTTTATTTTGAGTATGTGGAGATATAGATATTTGATTTTATTAACATTTACTACTCCAGGTGATCGCTACCACGGATTACTTGGAAGATCCAGGTCCTTACAACGTTTATGGAAGCATTGCTCAAAATGATGAAGGGCTTCCGCAACAAAGATGGGAAGTCACCATGTATGAAGGTACGTTATTAAGACTTTCTCTGTCCGTCTATCTGTCTGTCCGCCAGCAGGATAACACGAGATGCATCAAGATAGTCGAAATCAGCTTGTGACATCATACATATGACCCCAGATATCAACTTTTGGGGTCAATTGGACCACCCCTCCTCAAGGTCAAGGGGTGTGGTCACATAATTTTGGGGGAATTACTTGTTTCACCATCTTGCTACATTTGGTTTGCTACAATTTATTTTTGCGCTATAATTAATTTTGTATTAATTTCCAGACAACAGCATCTATGTTTCCCCATACGGTCCAGAATACCAGAATTCTTTCAGCACCTACAAGCCTTGCGGAACATGTTTCTCAGCCCCCGAAAATTGGGTCATTGTCCAGCTGAATTCCACCCCCACAAAATTATCGTTTCCAACTCCAATGGCAAATTCTACCGGGCTCTTAAGCAGTACTTGGACAAACAATTGCCTCATAAATCCAGGGTGCGTCATCATAATTATAACAATTACCATCAAAATCATAGAAGGACATTTTGTCTAATTGACCTCAATTATTAAACTTTCAGCAATAACTATCTCACCAAAGGTCCCTGTAATGCTTCAGATGTACGACAAATTTGGACCATTATGTGGTGGGAATAATGTAGAATTGGAGATTTAATCGTCCAACACAATAAATATGGTTCACTCACTCACCAGCATTACCTTGTACATTTGGTCGTCATCATTTTGTCGTCAACTTGATTAGTTACTCCACTATCATCACTACCACTCGAAGCAAATTGATAAGCACTGCTTCATTAGCAGAAATACCGTTCTATCTAAAGTGGTTATATAAGCAAGTATATTCGTCAAATAGCCCATACCCCAGCACAAATCTAACCAAAACCAACCCAGCATTCACCAAAATACGACAAAACCTAGTTTGCAGCAGGCAGAAATTTATTGTCCTTGGGAATTCATATCACCACGAAGGAAATTGCAACTATTTCATTGCATCATTGAGTCCCATTCAGCCGCCATTTGACTTCGCAGTCTTGCATCATGTGTCACACAAGAGAAAGTTCACATTGAACTGACACGAACTCGTCCATCCAATCCCCCACCCAGCCAGATACATATCCCGTTTTCGACGCAACTGTATGTATGCCTCACTTTCTAAGAAATACCACACGCCACGCCACCCGAAAACCAGATTACATTCACACTTGGCATGCATGTCGAGTGAAAGCGTGGAAGAAAGCTGGGTGAAAAACTATTCAGCAGATTCGTATGATTCTCACCCGCTCGCGTGGTGACAGAAAAGAAATGGATTTTTATGTGAAGGATATAAAAAAAATCTTCCCATTCATCCAAGGCTTCGCGTCTCGTGCTAAATAATATAATCCGATTATGAAGGCGAAATTGACAGACTTGCGTAATAACGAGGAGAGGCCAATTCTAGACGGACGAGTTCATTAGCTATATGCTGTTCAGATTAATGATTTCATAGCGTTCATTAACGCAATTTAGCGTGATAACAACTGTCGCAACTAACAAGTAGGAATCAAAAAGAAATGAAAGGAAAAATAGACAGTTGGACTTTGAATGAAAATAAGTATGAAAAAGAAAATTTAGTTATTTTCTAGAAACTTTTTCTCACAATTTCATTTCCATCTGCCAGCCATCACGAATTCTTCGAATGGAAAGCAGGGCCGTGTCAAGATTGTCAAAACAATCAAATCTTTGACAGTTCGCTTTTGATCAGATTTACTTCAGAATACGAAAAATGGGATTTGGCCTGCGACAGATATCTTTTCGCGGAGCAATAAAAGATAAGTAAAGTAGTCGACTCGAAAACGTATTCCCTCGATCACATCAACTTTATTCTTCTTCTCTGACATATTTTCCCCTTCAGCAGCATCCTCTTCGTGTCCTGCTCCCTTTCTCATTGGTGAAAGTCAAATCAAAATAATACTTGAGAAAAGATTTAGTTTATTGTGATAAGGTGATTTGATTTGCAATTTATTTTTAGATGTGAGCCGCCACGTCTTAGAAAAAAATGGGAAGGTACGAGTTCTCCAAAGTTTGGAGATGTGTTATGCAGAGAAAACGTACGTTGTATTGTGTGTCCAGGAACAGAGTGAAAGTTTGCTAAATTTTATATTGTACTAAATTTTATTCATCTCCTCCTCTCACTCGTGGATAATAGTTTACGAAGCAATATTGTACTCCAAAGTTTTGGGACGTAGGAAGTACTTGGTCTGCTACCACCACCACCACCTCTTGCTTCCCACACAGATTTAGGTATTAATTCTAGCGTGGAAATTGAGAAATTGCAATCAAATTGAGACTGAATCAGAGAGTCACATAATTTAATACAGAATCCAATCTTGTCCACATAATAGATAAGTTTGCGAAAGTAACCCAACAGTCGAGGAGGGAATCGATCTGGTGATCTTTTGATGACGTAAATAGCGCCTACTTTCTCTCCAAAGTACAATATTATGCGTATCTAATATCACCTCAAAACTACTCCTACTTTGTTTTATATGTTGGGTGGTAGATAGTCTACTCCTGGGTAAACACGAATATCAATTTCACCCTAATGAGCACCAGAGATGAACTGCTGTATTGCATTGCGAGCCTGATTCTGACTTTCTCTCGCACGCCACGTGGGTTATGACGGGGAGAGAAATGTAGAAGTATGTATGTGCACTCTTAGAAAACTGGTATTAAATCATTACCGACCGGAGTACATATATATGTATGGCTCTACCAACTCTGGTAATAACAGGCATTATCATTTAGTAATATTGTAGTAAGGAAAAATTTACCACTCAGAAACAAACTACTACCAGTCCGGTAGGAATTTATTATCAAATCAATACCAGTACGGAGTATGTATGCAACCCTGCCAGATTTTTAACAGTGTAGTTATACACAAATAATATAAAAGTTGAACAATATTGAAAACAAATTGTATCACTGGAACTGAAAATTAAATTATTACGACTCGAATAGAATAAGTTTTCGCCATAATTTTCAATCTATTTGCAAATATCGAACGATACTTTGGAACGTGCAGATAAATAAAAGTGGGTCATGGACATTATGATTATTTTGGTAGGATTCGCCGTCGTAATACTTTCTCTACTTTCTGCGAATACAATGTAATTATATTTGTCTAAAAAGTAGCAGACCTCTCTGTTCCACATTTTATTTAATTTAGTTTGTTGTCTAATTCTGAGAAGAATTGCTCCCAGTCAGGAACACAAGTCGTCCCTGGAGTATTCTCCGTTCTTGCCAAGGATCATGAATTCTTCATGAGACTGATTTTTCCTTCCTGGAAGAATTACAATAATACCTTCTCCCCCGATGTGCACCTACCTCTACGCAGAACAGAGAGATGCATGCAAATGTCATCCATATTTAAGTGGCAAGAGCGTGTTAATGATTAAAATTAGTGGCCGCTGCCCAGCAGTGCGAGGCCTACTTATTCACCTTGCTTTCCTCCTCACAACAGGAAAAGAGGAGCGAGATTAGATGTGCTTTTCTCATGAAATGGGATGAAATTAAAGAGAAAATGGAATCCTTCCAGGGGAGAAAGTCCCTTCGTTTCTGCCACTAATGAGATGATGTTCATCTATGAACTGCATGCACCAGTTGGACTGTCTCCGTCCACACATTTCAGATACTTTCTCCAGTTTCCTGCCTGATTTCATAATAATGATAATACCTTATCGCACCAAAACCAAAAGCTGCTTGTGGTACGTAACTCGAGCCATGCAGCATGGGAAGGAAGGACTTTGAGGAAATTCCTAATTGGGTCGAGGCATGCGAGTTTGCAGGCACATGCTAAAAACAGATGCAGAAGTTCGAACCAACTGAACTCGATATTTGGCCTTCACCATTGAGTGCGGAATTAACCCGTGTCAATGCATTCGAGATTGAACACCTTGTTTGTGAGACAAGTTCCATAATGTTCAAGTACATTTTATTAATTATTTCCATAAATTTAAGCGCCTAGTCCACGCCATTTAATCGAGCAGGGTCATTATTGTTAAGCCCATAATCCGGCAGGCACTCTGCGTAATATTCAGTCACCAGAGAAGAGGACGGCTAGCTAACCAAAATATGCATGAACGAGAATCAGCTCTCAGCTTACTTACTTGGACCACTTTCATAAAACGGTTCGTAAAACAAAAATTGCCGCCTCATTTAATGAATTGTTGTCAAAGTGGATTGAATCGGATTATGTGTGCGAAGAAGGTGATGGGTGGGACGAGTCTCATCATAATTCATACCGACGGCGGAGACAATGGTGTCGCTTTTGTCACAACTTTCTCCTTTGTGAAAATCGTGTTTTTGTTGTCAAACGCAGACCAGACCTTGTTTGTGCCGGTGGTTAGAACGACGACGACGATCCATAAATATAAAGCCGGTTAATACCCTTATTATCAGAGCATAATCCCCTTTGCCCACTCACTCACTAGATGGGTAGGTCGTATTTTATGAGAAAATGGTAACCCACCAAATAAATTATGTGATTGCCTATAAAATACTACATACATACGCCTCAATTCACCCATGAATTTATTTATCTACGACGGGATGAATGTACTTCCAAGCGGAATGAATGAGCGATATTCCTTGTTTTGATTTATAACGACTGGACAAGCTAGTTAAATATCTTTATGGAATGCATGCTGTTATTTTATTTTATTGTGGGAAAAGCACATAAAATTCTACGCATTTCGATGTATCTAACAGGGAAAATATATTTGTCAGAGATCGCATCTCACCATTTCCGTAGAGGTTGCTTTACAACAGGTTTACTTAATGCAGTAGAAGCTTTTGGCAGACATTAAATTTTGATCCGGGCGGATTGGGTTTCGCGAAATCGGTCCGTTTCAGGATGGAATCAGACGAAACGAAAGCTTTCACTGGGAGAGGAGCAGTAACATTTTGTCGTCGGTGGGGGCTTTGTTCATTTTATTATCGTCGTCCATCCATCCATCGTTCCGCATGGTTGAGGAGACGACCATTCTCCTCCACTTTCTCCCCCACCGCTTAAATACGATGACATCCAATGGTGCTGAAACCAAATTGGTCTTTGTGACAAATTTGTATTCATGATTTGCAGGTTTAATAGATATCATTAGTTTTAGTCGAGTTGTTCCAATGGGATGTGTTAGTCGGGAAATTTGCATTTTCCAAATTGCATTGGGACCATGTCGTCAACTGTATGAAAAGGTACGAATTTATTGTCGCTTGGTATAGAGGATTTTCCGTTAGAGACCAATTAATACTAGCCTTATTAAAAATTTAGGGGATAAATTGATGCCACAAAACTCATTAAATCGTTCAGTCTGGAAAATCAACTCCTTTTCAAATACATATTTTCCATCCACAGTATTCATAACCGAAAACAATACAACAATTGGGAGTGAACCTGATTCCATGCAAATCTGCAATTACTGCTTTCACTACGCGATTTCATGCAGTGTTTTTGTCCTATTGAATTTAAATTCGCAATTAATCTCCCATTTCTATTACGCGTTTGTGTACTTACAATGCACCTGCACAAAGGCCACGTCTAGCACTTAATTAGTGGGTTCTTTCTCGCATGATGATGGAACGTCGAAAACAACAGCAGCAGCAGAAATGCCTCCCATAAATATATACACCTTCAAACAGCAATATTTACCAGGAGTAGTACGTA